TCTCTTACATTTTTTTAACAGTCCTGTATCAATCACACGAGAAATCTATTTACTATAATGTGATATTATGAAATTTGACTCTGATGACTTGATATTGCTTGAAACTTGATGAAAATAATTAGTGTCATATGAGAAAAATTTAAGTTACTCTTAATGGTTATCAAAAATTTTTATCAATAATTTTTTTAGTATTTCAAATACAAAATAGATCGAAATTGTATTTGAAATACAAAATACAAAATACAAATTGTATTTCAAATACAAGTATTTGAAATATGCCCAGCCCTGTAATTATCTACTCTTCGTATAACTTAAAAAAAATTCCGGCAGCGCCAAAAATAATTGGTAATATTTGTAGTTTTAGAATAAACAATATATACATTCCAAAAACGGAATAAAAAATATACCGATCGAATTTGTAGGTTAGAATAAACAATATATATACATACCAAGAACAGAATAAAAAATATACCGATCGAATTGTTGCGTCGGAAGGCATCTTTACGTCCAATAATCTACTCTTCGTATTATTTAAAAAATTCCAGCGGCGCCAAAAATGATTTGTAATATTTATAGTTTTACAATAAATAATATATACATGCCAAAAACGGAATAAAAAATATACCTATCAAATTGGCGCGTCGGAAGACACCCTTACGCCCAAGCTATCCTTCGTATCACTTAAAAAATTCCAGCAGCGCCAAAAATGATTTGAAATATTTCCAATTTTGCATTAAAGAACATATTGCATGCCAAAAACGGAATAAAAAATATACCGATCGAAATGGCGCGTCGGAAGGCACCCTTACGTCCAATAATTACCTACCCTTCGTATAACTTAAAAAAAATTCCGGCAGCGCCAAAAATAATTGGTAATATTTGTAGTTTTCGAATAAACAATATATACATTCCAAAAACAGAATAAAAAATATATCGATCGAATTGTCGCGTCAAGGCATCCTTGCGTCCAATAAGCTACCCTTTGTATTACTTAAAAAATTCCATCTGCGTTAAAAATGATTTGTAATATTTGCAGTTTTGACCTAAAGAACAGGTACATGCCAAGAATGGAATAAAAAATATAATAAATAATATAATAATATAAGCATTTTTCGAATTATAATTATAATTCGAAAAGTGCTTAATAAAAAAATATTTTATTGTAATGTTTTTGAAAGCTCTCGAGATAAGCTACAAGAGTGCAATTAAAAAATGAGGGGTTCTATTTAAAAAATTTGAAGTGATCTTTCCCTGACCTTTATAGCACCACCCAAGGTTAAACCAATTACTATTATATAATATATTATATAATAATATACCATTTTATGTCCCCCTTGAAATCAAACAACTTTTGTTTTAAACATTTTTTTGTATCTATCATAGTTTTCAACAAATCTTAATGGCCAATCATTTAAAATGGGACACGCTGCACATCCTGTGATATATTTTAGATTCTTTATTAATTTCTAATTTTTTTATCTTTCATTTTTTTATTATTTATCTCTCATTTTAATAACATTTTTCCAGTCCATTTGCAAAATAAGTAGCTAAAACTATATTAAGCTAATTTAATAATAAGCTACAAAAATATTACAATAAGATTAATAAATACTTTACAAAGCTTTTAGTGACTAAATATTTATTACATAAAAAATATTTAAATACTCATTATGTCATATTTTCTTATAAATATTCCTTTAGATTCTTATCTTTTCATTACTAATGCATATATTTGCAAACATTTGATACTTCATTTTTATATTTAGATTTAGGCCTTATTTTTACATTTAGATAAATTTTGTTTAAAAAAAAATAATATATAAAAATTTTTTTTTTTTTTTTTAAGACGAATGTATATGGCTTAATAATTAATGACAAGTTTTGTTTTACAAAATTGCTCTTGTTATTTATTTGCACATGAATATGCTTTTGTAAAAATGCGCAATGATACATTTAAAACTTTATGGCTAAGCTGAGAACTCAAATAATTTGCATTTAAAAAAAAAATATAACAAATTTCTAATTTATGTAAGATCCACTTTAAGTATAAATGAATTTAAGTATAAAATAAACCTTACAATATTAAATGGATAATATAATACTTATTACGCTCATTGTTTATTACCTCTAAATTTTTATTTAATAGATAAGAAAAATTTAAGAAATAAAGTCAAAATTGATAGGATTCATTAGACATTTACAAAATAATGTTATCAAGTTAAATAATGGAGTTTATATATTTCTAATTATATTTATGATAATCCGTAGAGTTTCAATGTTCTGTCCATGCTAGTAGACGCGATATATTGTGCATGCTTTCCAAAACGAACACCAGTAGCCGCCGCTGTATGATCATTTAACACTTTCAATTCCTGCCATTGCTTACAAAGATATACCCTAAAAAACAACATATACGATATAAGCAATCTTAAATTAACTTATATTATTAATGTTAATACATCATACACAATGTTGCATCTCATGGCCAATTTAATTGTTATTCAAATATTTGATATATCAGTTATTGAGATGCAATAAGATTTTTAATCAAAAATTCTTGATTCTTAGAGCTATGAAACATTCTGTAATTACTAATTAGTAATAATTGATTCTTAATTATATTAATACCAACATTTTTGAATAATTAACTATTAAAAACTAATAAATTCAATATTTTACCTAACATCTGTTCCTGCTACAGCCAAATAAGTTCCACTTTGATCAAAGCAGATATCCTTTACTTCATAAGATTCCTCCAACTGTAATGTCTTAAAGTTCTTCAGCTTGCGTAAATCCCAAAGCTTGACGCATGAATCTTCTGCAGCTGTTGCCAAGTAATATCCATTCTCGGAGAAACTAATCGCTGTAATTGGACCTGTATGTCCCGGAAAGTTTGCAACATTAGATTGTTCTTTTAAATCCCAGATCTTCACCTGAGAGTCCGCTGTGCCAGTGCCAAATATCAAACCATCAGGATGGAATTGTGCCGTTGTTAATGGCTGTCCTGCTTGTCCTGCAATCTTTAAACAATTCAAGCATGATACAATATATAAAGATCTTTTTCCTCTCTAAGACTTAATAATTTGGCTGTGATCCGATTCACTTACAATACTCACAATGTTCACAATACTGATCAAGTCTGAATTGTTAGCATGCTTAAAGCACGCTGATCGTTGACGATAATTTTATTTTGGATGTTCGTGGACGTAATTCACAGCACATAACGTATAATGCTTATGTAAACATTTAGTAATATTACATATTACATTTCATGTAGTATTGACATGTTATATATTGATATTGAATGATGTTGAAATGACATGAATTTATAAATATATATATACATGTATCTACATAGGTACAGATCTATATATACATATATAATACATATAGAAATACGTATATAATACATATACACATGTGTATACAGGGTGTCCTAAAAAGGTCGGGACACCTAAATATCTCGGAAATATAAGTTTTACAGAAAAGTGTTTCAGACGAAAGTTATATGGTTTAAAAATATCTATTTACTGATCCTATCAGTTTGACCTTGGGTTGCGTAGCCAAGTTCAAGTCAAGGTTACATTGATTTTCTTAAATGGAACACCCAATTTTTATTCAAGAATCTAATAGCTGATGTCCAGAGCTTTCCAAAACGCTATAATGAAATATTTTTTCATGAAGTACTTTTCAAGTTATAATGCTTCAAAGTTACAGTATTTATACAGTACAGGACTCTCACGATTTTGCTACGTTATGTTTTTATTTGTGCGTTAACTGAAGGTCAAGATTCACGGACCACCGACCGATCTCGCCTTGACTGGCCAGTCTCCAAAATTAAATATTTTGGGTAATGCTAGTGCCGGCAATACTGTAACTTTGAAGCATTATAACTTGAAAAGTACTTCATGAAAAAATATTTCATTATAGCGTTTTAGAAAGCTCTCGACATCAGCTATTAGATTCTTGAATCAAAAATAGGGTGTTCCATTTAAGAAAATCAATGTAACCTTGATCTGACCTTGGCTACGTAACCCAAGGTCAAACTAATAGGATCAGTAAATAGATATTTTTAAACCATATACGTTTGTCTAAAACACTTTTCAGTAAAACTTATATTTCCCGAGATATTTAGGTGTCCCGACCTTTTTGGAACACCCTGTATATTATATACATATAATACATATATTTGTATATACGAACTTTGGAAATATCAGGATAATAATAAATTATAAACTCAATATTATAAGCTCATCCAAATTTTAACAATTATATTAATTTTCCGACTATCATTAATAGTACCTTAACGGTAATTTATTTCAACGATATTTCCAACAAAATTTACATTGGTCTTTTTCTCGCGCAAATAATGTAAATGTTTATGTCAATCCATTTCCGAATCATGGAGTATTTTAAGTCAAAAATTCGTAACGTCAATTTACTCACGAAAAATACTCCGAGAGCTAATCAAATTAACCGTGAACGCACTGATGACGTTATAAGCTTAACTCAGACCACAGCTTGTGATTAAATATGATACATTAGTTTAAAACATACTTTGGTCAGTAATCTCCCAGTACGTATATCTGAAAAGGCCCAATGTTGATCTAGAGAGGAGCTTAGTAGATAATCGCCAGTTGGATGTAGTGACAATCCAGTCACAGGTGCATCGTGAGCTTTCAATAATAATGTTGTTTGACTGGTACCAACGTTCCACACACGAATTGTAGTATCAGGTGACGCAGTCATCACTACATCCTCCTCTGGATGATAAATAACTCGTGTAACCTACGAGATAATTAAAAGACATTAATATGTTGAAGGAAATAATAAGCAATTCAAATTATGATTGTGTACTTTTTTCGTATGTCCTTTAAGGATTGCCACCACTTGCTCAGTATCCTTGTTGAAAACAGTGGCGTTCTTGTCGGCGCCACCTGTTAAAATCTTGCTAGTATCCGCACTGTGAATATCAAGCGCCAGAATTCCAGGTACACTGGCAGAGTGAAGTCCCTAAAATTAACCTAATTATTTAATAATAATAATTAACTCGCGTTTTTTATTCATAAGATGTTAAATAGCTTTAGAAATACATAATAATTGTTATTAATACAGATCTGCGTTTACAGTTAAAAATATATATACATATATATTTATAACACAATTCTCAATAGTGAGACAGCAAATTTTGAAAATTATGTAAAATTAAGGAAAACTCACAGGATGTGATGCAAGAGTCTGGAACGATCGGATACTATCCTGAGGCATAAGATCTTCTGGAACTGAGCGTCCACGTCGTTTTCGTTCTTGAGTAAGAACAGTTGCTCGCTCTTGAAGTTTCTGTATCACATCTTCAGTGATACCAGCTTGTTCCATTGGTTGGGTTGCTGTACCACCAGCTTCTACTGCCACAGCCTAAAGAAAATATAAATTAAGAATTAGGAACATATTTTATAATCTTTAATTAGATATTTTTAGATATTTATAGATATTTTTTAATATACAGGGTGGACCATTTTAATCCATCCAGTCGAATATCTCGAAAATCAAGTCCAGGAGAGAAAAATTTTTCAGACAAAAGTTGTTTGG